GCCCTTGAAGGAACCTTTAAAGGAGCAACCCACAAAACCGATGTCATGTCAGGACAGGTGCTGCTACAGAGCTTTTCTCCGAAAGCACAAACCCTGGTGCAGCCCCTTGTCCTGGTCGTTAGTTGAAGGCTTGGAATTTAATTTCGCCGGTCCTGTGGCCGCAGGAATCCTCAAGGGTCGCTTTCGCGAACAGTGTGGTGGCGCTAGGGGTTTCTTGCGTTCATGGATGAAATCGCTGTCCCCGCAAAGAGCGGTTTCGCAGCTCCCGCGGTGGTGCGATGGCCCTTTCGGACTACACTGCACCTGGCCTTTGTCGTTTTTGTCCACGGTGCTGCTGACAGAGCGTCCTTCGGGGACGCCGACTTCCTTGTAAAACATTTTGGCACTCCCGAACATGATGAATCGCGCTACCACCGCAGTGCCCGTGCGATTTTGAGATGTTTTTGGATGGAAATCGTCTTGGACATCTAGCAGGGCCACACTATGGTGCGTTTTCGCGATCCTTCCATTCTAAGGGGTTCAGGACTGGGGAAAAGGGACTCGAATTTAGAGACCTACCCACATATCTGTCTACCCTAAACCATCGCAATAAAAGGAGATCCCAGCAATTCGGTGTATGGCTACCGCGTGATATCCAGGCCTGAGATTACATGAAGTGGAAACAGCTACGTACTATCCTTTCAGACATGCTTCTAGGGTCTGGGGTCTATCGGGTTGAGGCGGATGGGTGTAGGGAACGGCTCTGGGCTTTGGTGTTACCATGCATTGAAATTAGAAGCTGCGATCCTGCAGCAGCGCTGAGCACATTTAGGTTTCGTCTCGTCTTGTCGCCTGCAAAAATCGTGCTCCCGCCGCAATTTCGCGCACAGTCTGGTGTGGCTCATGTCATAGGGCCTCAAGGTGCTCCTGGCTGGTTCTTGGGCGGACTTAGGTGTTTTCTGCAGTGTTTTCAATGTCAACGCTGGCATGAAAAAAAGTAACCGCTAGCGCGAGAGCCGCCAGGGGGACCGCCATGTTTGTTTCCCTTTCTCAGGAGATGTATTTCGCAGACTCCCTCATGGAGGACCGTGGACCGTGTGGGTGGCCTTGGTGTATGCAATTCAGAAAGTAGCCGTGGGGAACCTTTTCTACCTGCAGGGCGTGGAGTTTAGTTGGACGATTAAGCGGGTCAGGACCGGGACGGCCGCCCCTACGCCGCTGGTCGCCTGAAATTTGCCAACGCGGAGAACATGTGGCCTGTTTGAACTCAGAACCATCGTTTTTCAGTGAGATCCAGCTTTTCTGAGGCATCCGTGGCATCACCTGCGAGCAGGAGTCTTCGTTTTCGAGCTTATGGCGGCCAAGGCTCCTTGCTTGAGCGGAGCTGTCCAGGGCAGACACTGCAACACCAGCACGTTCGGTTTCCGCTGCGGGCTCCAGGGGCCTCAGGGCCGTATGGTTTGGGATCGATGACATCTGTGTAAGCCCTCGCACGCGAAGCTCCACTTTTCAAATGCTGGGATCTTCAGGGACACCTTCTGGTGTTTTCGGGTGCGGGACTCCGAATCGTCTTTTGCGCCGCACTGCGAAAGCGACGTAGTCAAGCCTCCCAAAAAGTGGCGCTCGAGACTTGCTCACCAATAGCGCAACACGCATCGAGGTGGGAGTCCAAACCATCGGTGCAAGGCCGCGATATGGCTGTGGCCCCACCATACTTCCTCGCAACGAACAACAATGAAGACCTGACCGAAGACTGTTTTTCGTCTCGGTTACTGTTTCGGTGCGGGCCTTGCGGGAAGCCAAGGCCTGACTTAGATCCTGACAACCCGGTTGACCCGTCTTAGCAAGCCCACGGTCGACCGCTCGTCGGTCGGGAGACGCGATCTGGGGATGCCGGCGAAGTCGACAGTTCAATGCACTAGCTTGACTTAACTTTCTGAATTGTTTTCGTCGAGGTGTGCAGAGGCCCTCAGCTTCTTCCCGCTGAGAGAGTGTGTGCGGGGTTCGCGGCTCCAGGTTGCGAAGAAGGGCCGTGGCCCTGGCGCCTACATCTTGGACATCGGAAGTATAGGACATTGCAAGCGCAGTCCGCCGCATCCTGCCTCGTCTGTTGGCTTTTCAGGACGAGCTGGGAATGTCAGCGGAACGGCCGGGCTGGACAAAACCTACAACGAGGCGCCGCGCCCATGTGCTCCTCACCGCCTCCCTGTCAGACCAAAGATCTCCTAAGAAGCTACTAACATCTTTGGTGACTGAAACGCAGCTCAAGAGACTGCAAGACCTTGCAGGCCCTGAATCCCTACTACGCCGCTGGGGCCGGGTCGAAGGTCGGACCTGAGCAGCGATTCCCAAGCCTGCACGGGGTTATATATCGACCTGCACCATCCCGTTTCTGGAAGGATGCGCCTTCGAAGGAAATCTTGGAGGAGCTGGGCAGCCTTGACAACGGATTCGCCGTGTTGAAGGCCAGAGCCGGAAGCTGCAAAAATGGTGTAAAAACGAGAGATGCATCTTGAAATGCAGGCAGCGATCGCAATCCTGAATCGCCACTATCCTGGCATCATTGGCAAGGTCTTCTACCTCAACAGTGTGTTGGCCCTAAGTGCTTCCGAAACTTTGCTTCGTGGCAGACGAATGGGGAACTGCCTGACATCCTGCCCAGGACATGGTTTTCTGGGGGGCATTCAAAATCTTCTCCCGCTGGATCGCTGATCGTGGACACATTGAGTTCAAATTTCTGGGTCCCTCAGCCGCATAGCCTTTTATGCGTGTCTCTGCTGCATGGCGCTTACTCTGGGTCACAACCCCGGCACACGCAAGACAAGTAATCGCACGCTCATTGTGGCAGTCAGCACATGCCAGAAGATGGGCACACAACGGCAGAATGAATCTGGAGGAAGACTCGTTGCGAAAATGGAGGGAGAAGCGTGCGCATTCACCGATTGCTTGAACAGTTCAATGCAGGGGCTAGACACCACCACCAGCTCGCCCGGTGTGCTGCTGTTCGGTTACAATGGCACTGACCATTTTTGGAGGGCATGAACAGGCTTTCGAGCTTTCGAGGGAGCGTTTCGTTTGAGGCGTGTAAAATATTTCGATTCAGTATGTGAAGCCTAAATAGTTGCCTACTCGTACCGAAAACAAAGTCTTCGCTTGTGAGGAGTTGCCGTGTTTGTGCCTCGACTCTTATGGTTGTCTCAGATTTGCCGCGCGAGCCTGCGAGCAAACATTGCCAATTTGAGCCTTCCTTGCCGGCGCAATCACAATCGATTTTCATTCACAGACGGTCGCACGTGTGATCACTTGTGTGTGTGTGTGTGTGCGCGTGTGTGTGTGTGTATATATGATGGGATTTTATGATTCAGACAGTGTATGTAGATCATTTATTATTTCATTTTCTGTTTGTATATATAAATATATAATATGCATACCCGAACAGTCATGAACAAACACCCTCCCGATCATGTGAGCCTCCCAGAAGCAAGTCTGGAAACACATCGACAAGTCAGATCGGAAGACTCCACTGACGGGACGCATGCGCAAGATCGTCAGATTCTGTGTCGCTGATTGTTGCAGGTCCCCACGGATGGCGAGAGGAGCCAACTTCCAGGCTGGAGGGTCGGAGAAGAGCAGACGTGGCCAACATGCAACAGGGATTCTGGCGGTATCCTCTCAGGAGCCACGCCCTTTCGATTCGGTTGAAGGGGACGCCGAGTGCCCCTGCATGTGTTTCGCATTGTAGGCTCTTGGACACCTTCGCCCCGGAGCAGCTCTTCGAAGAGCAGCTTGACAAAAGAGCGCAGCTGCCTGTTGTGGTAATAGCGCTTTCAGATCCTGCGGCCTGCGATGCAAAAGCTTACTCATGGGGTTGTTTTGTGTGGGCTGCCTGCAACGTACGTGCGCGCCCGCAACTAACCGATGTTTTCGGAGCTGCCGCCTTCGCTGCTTTTCGCCTTCACATGCAAATACTATAGTTGAAGGAAGCGAGTCTTGCCACAAGATGCCACAAGGTCGCGCCTCCACATCACGTCATGGGGCCCTTCCTTTTTCATCGTACGAAAGTGGGGGCTTGCGAGATTGATGAGTTTCATTCCGTTTCTTACATTTCCAGGTTGTAGGCCAGGCACGGCTCATTGGGATAGGCGACGTCAGGCTCGGGCGAAGTCCTCAAGAACAAATCTCAGAAGTCTCGCTTCTGTGATCCTCTCAGCCTCTTCGGAAAAATTCGCAAACAGCGCCTGTCTCTTTCGCGTCTGTGTCACACCGCGCCTTCGCTTGCAGGTGGGGCGGCACCGGCCCTAAGCTCAACGGCGACGAGTTCTTGGCTCGGGCGATCGAGCGCCCCCCGCATCAGCACTGTGCAGGTCAGCGTGCGTACAGGGGTACCCCGCAGTTCACCCCCGAAGTAGCTTGATCGCTTGAAGATGCAGCATGCCGCTGGCTCCGCTGTTGCAATCTCAGGCTATGAGAACGAAGCGGCTTCGCAAGAGTTGGTTGCGGCTTCTTGAAGCACCAAAGTGTCCAGGCATGCAGCACTCGTCTTGCCTCCTGACAAAGCATGTGGACATGTCAGTGTCTGTGGTGGTGCATGGCAGCCGGGCGCAGCAGGACGTCCGCTTGCAGCAGAGCATTCTGAACGGTTTTGCCTCCTGCACAGATGCTTGACAACCAAACTCTGGGATCTTGTCCCATCTGCTTTGTGCAAGCTAGTGTATTGGTACAATTCTGATGCCGGTGTTTTCCATGCAGTGGACTCCGGATATCTTCTAATTGGATGTGTGTAGCATAACATGCTAATCCACGCAGAATGCGTGCGGTACAGCCTAGTGCTAGCCACACTCAAGGGACAGACCTGCTCCAGTGTCAAAAGTCCAAGGCTTGTGCTCGAATTCCTTGAATGTGCCGCTCAATTTTCCCGTGCCGAGGGCGATTCGCTGAAGCTTCTCTCTTATCCAGCGTAGCTGTCGCCACATAATTTTCGGCAGGATGTGGCCTGGAAACCACTGGAGTGTGCCAACTGCGAATGCGAACAAGTGAAATCATCAGAAGATGCGCACGGTTTTCAGTCCGCATCACATGCACCGTGTATAGTGTCAGACTCTGGAGTCTTGCGTGGCGAGTGTGTTCTCTGTCTGAGATTTTATACTTTCAGGGCAGACTGTAGCAAGTCGGTTGCTTGAGCGTCTTGAGGGTCAGAACATTCTCGCTCCAGCCGCCACAAAAGCAGTTTCGAAAGCACCTTTCACTTACCACTTGCGTCAAGATTCACAAGAGCCGCGTCCGTTGCCTGCAGCATGACAGCTGTCCCCTGCTCTGATGCGAAGCTTGCTCATGTATTGGCATGGTGTATCGCAAGGTCAGTGGTCTCTCGCTACGTGGAGAATCCGCTGCTCATCCAGGGGTTGAAGTTTGATCTGCGAGTGTGCACAGCCCAGATGCAAGTTGGCTTCAGAGTGTTCGTGTCGATGTTTTTCTTTTATATGGCGGTGCTTCGACTCGTGCCTGAAGGCTTTTTCTGGCTCGAGCCTGTGCTAGGGTGGCAGGTGAGCCCTTGATTTAGCATAGGCCGGAGTTGGAAAGTGTACTCTTTGTCGTAGAAGCCGTGATTCTGATTCTTCAAGCTCTCATAGCAGTGCCAGAGTGCAGCCATCGAGAAAGACTACATGATAAGAGAGCATCTTTTTGCATTGGTAGGTGATGGTGAGGTGGGGTCCAGTGGAATATCACCATGTGGAGGCCAGGCTTCGTTCGCGTAGTCCGTGACAGTCCCCTGAGTAGATTGATCTGTGTTCTCCGAATGCTCGAGGCCTTCGAGGGTGCGTGGCATCCGGACCCTGAAGATGTGGTGATCAACATTGTTCCGGAAGATTCTTGGTTGCAACGTTTAGTACCTCCATTGTCAAGCATAGCAGCAAATCTCCAACCTGAACTTCAAGATTTCTGCATAGAATTTTGGGCCCGGGACGGGTTCGATGCCCGTGCAGTTTCCCTTCGGCGCAATGTACAATCCATCCCCTCCTTAGGTCGTTCCTCAACCTGCAGCAACCATCATTGAGGCTGGAAAGATGCGTTCACGTAGCTGATGAGTGCTCTCCAATGCCTGCACAGCTATCATACAAGTTAGTACAGTTCCACTTCGACTTTTGTGCAGCGCTGTGCTGCTGCAGGTGGATATGGTTGACGCAAAGCCAACAAGACCGGCACAAGTATGTGGCATCACAGGGTATTCCGTCTGGGACATCTTCCTGGCCCATATGTGTGCAGGCAGGACATGGCGGCATTGCACAGGGAGGGAGAATGGCATCAAAGGAACGGCGGTGATCTCTAGGCATCCTATATTCGTACCTCTCAAGGAAGCTCCGAACGAAGTGGTCCCGTCAGTAGCTGACTGCAGGTTCGAAAGGACAGCCAGGCAAAAGATGCCGATATGTGGAAGAAGATCTGGCAGAAATCGGCTGCGTCTTTTAGGCGTGCCGTCAATTCCCTGCGTGGGCGAGGGGTATGCAGGAGTTCAGGTGCCAAACATCGCAGTGAAGCGAGGGTGGCTAGCTCTTGAAGATTTTCTGTCCAGCAACTCCACTGGGTTTTGCCTCGTTGCCGATTGTGCCAGCACTCCGACAGTCAGCGAAGGCATCCGGCATTCATCAATTGAGCCGACAAGACTCTCGGCTTATTTGGCTTGTTTATGATTGAGCTGACTACAGTTACCCTCCAGTGCTAGTTTGCACCTTTCCTGCGTGTTTTGTTGCAAATTCTTGAACACAGGTTGGCGTGGCTTCGAGGCCGGCATTGTGTAGTTCCGAATGGCGTTGGGCTCTTGCTTGCTACGACTAGCGGACATGGAGACATGTCGCGTGTCGTTGATCAGCTGTGCCTTCTCACAGTGACAGTTGATCGAGGCAGCGTGGACCGTCTGATCAAAGCGGAGTCCTGACGCCTGGACGCCTCTTCCTCACCGGTCGGTTGGGTGTGCAATCAGCACGAGCACGAAGCGACAGGTTTTTCGCGCGAGCTGGCTTGGCTGAAGCAGGTCCTCAAAGTACGACTGCGGTGGGTAGTCAGCCATATGATGTCAGATGTGGCAGATGTACTTTCTCAGTATGTCGTCTCTGTAAACGTACGGCTGCGGCCGGCCTGGGGAATCGCCTGCAACCTTGAAAGTTTCTTTCAGGAGAAGTCTTCAGATGATCGGTAGATGAGGTGTAGGCTAGAACCAAGGTGATTTCGGCCTCGGCTGTGGGGGGGCTGACCATTTAGGGTCTACATGGGACCTAAAGGGTTCGGTTACATGGCTGAGACGGATTAGGGTATGACTTGGGCGTCGCTTTCAGGCCTGAAGTCAGCCAGCAAACTTGCAGACTTTGCCCTGTATGCTTCGCAAGTGTTTCAAGTGCCCGGCTAAGCATTTTTCTGTACGTGTGCATGGCATGGAAGTTTTACATTCTCCCAAACAGGCTACACATGAGTATCGCAATACTTTGTCCCTTCTCGCTTTGGCTCGGGCTTTCAATGTCCAGGCCTCCTGGCTCAAGAATGGTGTTTATTGAGCTGCATTGCAGCTGCACTCAATCTGCCCAAGTTTGGGGCTTGGTGCAATTTGGTAAGTTATGCTGTCACAATGGCAGTCTTTTTAAAAATTGAGGAGGGCTAACAGAGGGCACCGTAGTTACTGGCCCACAAACAGACAAATGCCAACCTGCTTGCCTTCCTCAAGACTTGTTTGAATTGTGGACCGCCATGCGCCCCTGTTGTGGGTCATGCAGTCCTCACTATGACACAGTTCCAGATCGTTTCAACTGCACGTTCTTCTTCGAAAGAGCAGTTCAAAGTTGACAAGTCTTTTGCTTTGGGCGCGAGACGCCCTCAAGGCGAATGACGAGAGACCGAGGACCGGGGAAATTCAGTATTCTCGGAAAACCATGCCAGAGCGGGCTTTCTACTGGTTATTGCAACGTGGAGGAAGCAGAGAGTGCAGTTTAGTGGCCTGTCCCTTCAATCTAAGATTCCAAGCTCTCCATGCCTCTTCAGAGTCACTGTGCCCAGCTAATCCAGATGAGGTACGTGCTGGCCGTCGCCTGAGTTGTTCGAGAGAGTTAGATGAGTGAAGCTTGGAGCAATCCAGCTGGAGATGGCTTGAAAGGGTCCTTCGGCATCGCCCTAGCCGTGGGTGTGCAGGTCACCAGCTACGAGCCCTTGCGGGCTTACATCTACAGAGAAGGTTCGCTGCTGACACGGCTGAACAACTTTGTTGTCTTGCCTCTTGGACGTAGTAAAAACATCATCAGTTTTGGAAGGCCTGGTGCGCTTTGCTTCCAAGCCTTATAGCAAAGACCCGAAGCATTTAACAGCCCGAGGCTCAGAGGATGCAGATGGCCGCATACGCAGCAAAGCCAAGCCAGAGTCCGACCGTCACAGGATGCCTACCGTCATTTGACCAACTATTCGATCAACAAGGTCCGCACATGGATGAGGAATCCTACGAGGGAAGTTCTTCTGCAAGTATGATGCCATCGTTTCTGCGAGGGATCTTCCAGCTTTGTGGAGAACTCCGAGGTTCAGGCTCGCTCCCGCGAACCTCTACATGTCACATAGCCCGGGGAGCCAATCAGGATTGCATCCCGTTCGCTCCAGGCGGACAACGTCGGCCACAAGTGGAGCATATCGGCGTTGAACAAGCACCTCAGGCAGCCGACTGTTCTGTTCCGAGACTGTTGTCCAGCAGCAAGTTCTTGTTTCTGCAGGTGTATTGGGGTAGATGCTGAGCTTATGTGGACCCGCATCATGGCAATCTGCTCAGTTGCAGCCGAAATGCGCGAAGTGAGGGCGCAGTCCATTTTCTTTGCGTGTGGCAAAGGATGCCATTGTGAAGTCTCTTCTGTCTGCGGGGGGCTCAGTTCTGCGAGAGTGTTGATTCATGCTTTAATGCTCATGGAAAGAGAGGATGGAAGTCATGCAGGGACTGGTGCCGCCTGCTTCGGTTAAACCCTTGATTGTCCCCAAGTCTCACAGCAATCGTTCCTTACAAAAATTGTGCTTGTCTAAGTCCAGATGGGCGCGATTTTGGATCCATGGTTTCCAATTTTTGTTCTGAGCCTCGGTGGGAAAAAACGGAAGGCGGTGCGGAGTGAGATGAAGCGGGGCTGCCCGATACTATCGGGCGAGGTGTGAGACGGCATCAGGTGCCACGTGGCACAGCGGGGTCGCAACAAAAACGAAAATAAGGGGTACCTTATTTTGGGGTCCTCATAATAAGGATCCGACTATCTAGGGTACTCTCTTAGGGTCCCTGTTGCCAAAAAACGAATGCCGAGCTCCTCCGCCGGTGTTTGGCGTGGCAGGGGCATTTGGCAGCTGGGAGGGATCGTGCATGGTGCAGGCGCGTCGTCGCCAGCAGACACATTCGAAGGACTGTTGAAGCAAGGCACCGTGCACCCGTCATTGTCGTTATCTTGTACATGAGGGCTGACGTCAATCGTTTGCTAATGTTTCGCTCGCTTTTTTGGGTTCCATGCGCAGAGGCTAGGCAAGGAAAGTTTGACAACATTTTTCAGAATGGAAGCTGGTCACGAGCGACACGACGCATTTGGCAGTCTGTCGATAGCGTCTCTCCACAACTTGCTTCGCACTTCCAAGGTGGAGCCAGTGATCGGGGCCCGAACAAAAGCCACTGCAAATTACAGCCTGTTGCCCAGCCCGAATCGAATCGCTCTTGCTGCTTTGCGCCACGGGCTTCATTGCTCAGGCCACAATTGCTTTGAGCCCGCAGCCCATTGAAACTCTTGGAAGGACTGTAGTCTTCTCCGAGCTTAGCTGTGATGAGGTTGTATGGCTTCGACGTGTTAGTCGATCAGGACTTGAAGTTGCGGGCTCGGGAGCTGTTACAAGTGACGGGTTGGAGTCGGCGGCTTTTCGGATGCTGAGGCCGTGGCTCTTGGAGGTCAACCTCAGTCCCAGCATGCAGGCCCAAGGGCGGCAGTGCAGTGCCCCAGCGTAGCATCGCCGCCGAAGCGCAGAAGCAGGACAGCCTAGCAATGGTTGAGTGGACAAGTAGAGCCGAAGCTGCAGGACCGTGTACGGAGGTGTTGGGTGGGAGTTTGCAACGCTGAAAGGACCGGTGCGCGTGAACCCAAACCTCGAAAGGAACTGTTGGCTGAAATACAGCAGCCCTGGGATGGGGGGAGAAGCTTTAGACAAAAAGATGTTGGCGAGCAAATCGGATGCTTGAAAAGGGGATGTTTGGGTGGGAAGCCCGCAACCCCACGGGAGATGCTGCAGGAGTCTCCTCAGGGTTGCGAATCGTGGAGACGCATCGATAGTTCTTGAATACACGGCAGGCGGTACGAAGGCACAACCGGAAGCCTTCACTGCTCATGTGGGTAGTTCTCTAAAGTAGGGTCCCTTTTTAGGTCCCCGATATAGAGAACTACCCATGTGAGGCGGATTCTCCTCTGGACTGGCAGATCAAGAGCTCCTTGCTTTCAGACTCCTTCAATCTCGTGAGCGGCCTACTGCAGCCCAGTGAAAGTTACTAGTAGGTGCAATGGAAAGTATCGATGCACATGCTGGGCTCGTTTGCAATGCCTCAAAGGTGGGCATCAACAAGGTGACCAAGCAGCGACTAGCAGAAGCGACAAGAGCAAAGTCCAAGGTTCGCATGGGTTTTCTCTCGCAGTTCTTCCTGTGCTGTGTACGGCGCCGCGGAGGTAGTCAAAGTGCCTGGTAAGCCACCAGGCAGGCAGCGTGCGAGAAGCCCGAGCATGTTGATAAAGGTCCCAGAGAAGATGCCCGAATCACCGTGAAGATCCGCACAGGACCCCCCGAACGCAGGAGGCGCCATCGCGTATCTGGCTATCAGCTGAGTTGTTCAAAGCAGTCACATGTTACACAGCCCCCCTCGGCCGGTCCAATGACGCACCTGACGAACCGCAATATGCAAATCGGTGCTGTGATCCTGTTTGAGGACGAGAGATCATCGTGTCAAGCATGTGAGCAAGGCAAGTCCATCACACGATACCTGGCTCCACGTTGCAATCGCCAAATGCGATTATAATTGCAGGCACATCCAGCATGAAGGAAGCCGTAGGAAATTGAACGCAGCCTGCAAGACATGCTGAGCTGCTCGTGAACGCTGAAGTTTTTATGAAATGCCACGGCTTTGTGGACATTCAGCTCAGCAAGCTGACGAACAGCTTCTGTTGAGGGGTGGCCAAAGATTGACGGAGTTCTATGATTGCCTCTGTTATAATCAGTCCCAAAGTAGATATTGTGCGTGCTGTTCGCTGATGTCCGTTCTTGGGGGTGTTGACGGCTTCTTTCCCGCGGCTCGTTAGGCCAGTCATCGGCTTGAGGTCCGTGTTTGAGGGTAGTCTTGGGGCAGCACCAGACGGAGCACCACTTTGGTGCAACATCCAAACATCCGGACAGCTTCCGTTTCTGCATCCCGAGTTCTGCGTCGGTCCTGATCTGAGTGTTTGCAAGCTCAGGGCGATCTGTCCTTCGCCATCAGAATCAAGAATGTGAAGTAGAAGACGAGCAGGTTCGCAGCATAAGATGCAGGATGACGCAGGCTTTGTAAGCAAGGTCACAGTCCGAGTAATGTTGCGGTCTGCGAGGACTGCGAGGACTTGCCGTCTGTGCCTTTGGGCACGTTCTGGGGCTCAGCTGAGCTGCTGTGTCCAAATGACTTGCGTTGTTGAACTTTCATGCCGTGTTAATCGGCTGCAGGTTGGACGTCGAGGAGCTGCGGAGCACTGCATGGGCCCCGATGGTCTTCTTTCTTGCGGGTTGACGACGATTTCGATCAGCATCTTCGTGTTTCGAAGTCCGACTTGATGTTTCTTGCTGCTGGCGTGTGACAGGCTTGCGTTTCGACGTATTCAACCGAGGCGAATGCCTTGCTTGAATGCACCCGCAATCGGAACTTCATCCGGCTGTATCCTACGCGTAAAGCGGTGCGACATTATGCCGGGGACGCCAGTTGCTGGAGCTTTATTAGCCAGGTGTCACAGCCTTCAGGCAAGTCTGAGGCTTCTGTCACTCCGCAACACGTCAGACACGAAATTCATAAGGCCGTCATTGTCGACAGCCAAGAGGCCATGAAGCCTGCGGCCCAGGGAGAAGCTTTGGAGCTCGTTCTCCCATGCGGGAGAGCTTTGATTTTAGGCCTTGGCCCCGTGGTCGAAAGCCGGTCGTCGAGAAACTCACCGCTTCCCAAGTCTTGGCCCGGAACCTCTGGAGCTGAGCAGCGGAGCGGAGCGGGGAGCAGGGTATCGCTTTGCATGCTGCTTCAAGGCGTCTTTGCTCTTCGGGCCTCCGCCAAGCCACGGAAAGACTCTAACGAGTCGGCCGCGGTCCAGAGCGATTTTATGCCATCGCCTGAAGACTCATCTCGCAGTCTTTTCCCTACAGAGTACGAACCTCTCTCCCTTCCAACATGTGATGTAGACAGGCTGCAGTCGCTCCATACGGCGGCGCGAGTGCTGCCCTCAGGTCTTGTGACTCCATTTTTTTTTCTTTCTCCTATCTCTCCCTCTCCTCTGGGCAGTCAGGCACAGATACGATGCCTTGGGAGAGGACGGGGGCGAAGAAACTTCAAACGTTGAGGTGCCAAGTTCGCCAGGGCAAAATAGAGTCTATCGGAAGCGCCAAGCCGCCAAGCACAAGCCATGGAGGCTTCACCGGCCTTGAGAAGCCAGTCGATGCCCCGGGCACGGGCGAGGAAGGCTTTGGCCCCAGAGGGCGGGAGAGCTCCGAGGACGCCGGAGGCAAGCTGCAAGATGTTTTCTAGATGTCACAGATCTCAATGACAGATGCCGTTAGAGAAATTGGGCCATAACTCCAAAGCTTGCTGTCCTCTGCGTCGCAGAGAGAGGTCTCGCGACGCCATGTGGTCGTAATGAAGCGCAGCCCTGCGGAGGCCGAGATGCAGCAAGGTAGCTTTGAATGTCGTCGCAAGAATCGAGACGGAAGTTCTCACCAAATGGTCATTTGCTTCTTATTAAGAGAGGACCAATGATGCTTGCCAGATACAGCTGTCCTAATTCCCACGAAGCGTTGAAGTGTTATTGTGTGCTTCCAATTTCTCATGCAGAGAAGAAAGGGTGATCCTGGCTTGGGTTTTTGTTTCTGTGCTTGCTGCTATCACACGAAAATTTGACTTGTTATTCTGGTTTCAACAGGAGTTGTCAGATTCCGCCATCGTTATAAAGCATCAGTGCGACACACCTTACTTATGATTGAATGTACTTGGAATATGGTGGAGGGAGACTACTTCTTTTCCGAAACATCAAAATATACTTTTGTGATGTTGGCAGGTTGTAAGTTCGTGGATTTTTAGTCACTGACAGGGGACTCAGGAGCTTTTCTTGTGGATCGTTTACCAAGAATACAAAGAACCAAAAGCAGCATATGTACATGTACACGAAGTGCAGAACACAGCGTAAATACCGATTGATTATGACCGTCGGACAAAGCATCTTGTGATAGAAGACTGTACAGGAGTAGTTGATCAGTGACAGAAGGCTGGGGTGGATCATGGGTGGACGGTGTGACCTACTATTACTACTACGACGACGACGACTACTACTACTAGTACTACGTACGTGCGTACGTACGTACATCTACTACTACTACTACTACT